AGCACTCACTACTTCCTACTCCCTACTCACTACTCCCAACGCACTACTCACTACTCCCTACCCAGTACTCTATACACACTACTCACTAAACACTACTCACTGCCCACTACTCACTACTCACTAAGCACTACTCACTACCCACTAACCACTCACAGTTCACTACTCACTACGCAGCGCCCACTCACAATTCATTATCCACTACTCGCTACTGAATACAACATATTCACGACCCACTACGCACTACTCGTTACTCACTACTCACTACTCACCACTCCCTACTCACTAGTCACTAGTCGCAAGTCGCCACTCACTACTCACGACTCACTACTCACACATTTATATTCGCAACGCCCTACTCACTACCCACTACTCAATACCCACTTCTCGCTTCTCACTACTCACTACTCACTACTCCCTACTGACTACTCACTACTCACTCCTCACTACTCGCTACTCCCTACTCGCTACGCACTACTCCCAACTCACTACTCCCTACTGACCCCTGGCTACTCCCTCCTCACTACCCATTACTCACAAGGCCCAACTCACTACGCCCTACTCGCTACTCCCTACTCACTACTCGCTGCGCGCCACTCACCACTCACTACTCACTACTCTCTACTCACTGCGCACTACTCACTACTCACTACTCACTCCTCGCTATTCGCTGCTGTCTACTCCCTCATCCCTACTCCCTGCTTACTACCCACTACGCACTACTCACTACCCGCTACTCACTCCTCACTACTCACTACTTATACCTCCTTACTCTCTGCTTCCTTCCCACTACTCACTACGCACTACTCACTACTCACTAATCTACACGCACTATTCACTACCACCACTACCCAGTACCCACTATTCACTACTCACTACTCACGACTCACCGCGCACTACTCACAATCAAATACCCACTACTCACCAATCGCGACTCGAAACACTCTGCTCTCTACTCACTACCCGAAAAGCCCCCTCCCCAGCCACCTGTTCGGCGCAAAAGGAAGGGTTCGACCCCCGCCCGACCCCCTCCCCCCCTTTTCCAATTCAGAACGGGGGAGGGGGGGGTCTGGACCCCCCCCCCTCCAAGGAGGGAATGGGGGGGGAACGAAAATCTCACCCACCCTTTGAAGAGGGGGAAGGGGGGGGGGTCTGCGAGCACGCCCCCGCGCTTGGGCTATCCACTGGCGCGCTTTCCCGAACATCGCAGCTGCGGCTGCGAAATGAGGTCGGGAAGGCGACGCAGGTTCGCTGGTCGTGCCGACGCGGGTCGAAAGCGCGCGCAGTGCCAGGGGCAGCGCGTTGCGCAGCAAAGGTGTGCCAGACGGCTGTGAGCGACGCGCCTAGGGTGACCTGAGAAGGTACCTGATCGTCTCGTTTGGTGACACTCCGTGGGGTTCCCACTGGGAGTCGTGGACCCGGGCTCCAGAGCGGCCTTCCAGCGTGGGAGTCCCGTGGCCCTGGACGCTGGCGATCGGCGAACGGCCTGGGCGTCCACCCACTTCCCGTCCGACGCGTCAATGATGCCCCCCGGTTGGGCTGCCGGCCCGTCTCGGCAGTCGAGCTCACGCCCCCGCCCGAGCGGGGGGGTCTGGCGCGCTTTGCAAGGATGCAGGGATTGCCCCGTGGCCGCCTGTAGAGGCGCCCGCCCGCGTCGAGTCGCCGGCAGGCGAGGGGGGGCGAATAGGGGCGAAAGGGCTCCTCGAAACCAGCTGTGGGATGGCTCTGTTGTCCCGCTCGTCAGGGGAAGGCCGATGGTCTCCTCGATGGTCTCCTCCCCAGCGGTGGGCACCCCTTCCTCCGGCGACTCGCGACTATCTTCGCACTCTTCCCGGCGGAGGCGACTGACCGTAGCAGAATCCGTTGGAATCCGAGGAGGCGCTGGGTGTTCCCGGGGGTCGTGCCGCCAGTGGGTTGCGTTGCGCGGTCGGCAGGGTCCTCTCTGTCTTCTTCCTGCCCCTTCTCCTGCGGCTCGCGACCCATTTCGCGCTCTTCCCGGTGTAGGTGACTAACCATCATCGCAGAACCCCTTGGAATCTGAAGCGGCTGGGTGTTCCCTGGAGTCGTGTTGCCAGTGGGTTGTGTTGGACGGTCAGCAAGGTTCTCTCTGTCTTCCCCCTGCCCCTCACCCTGCGACTCGCGACTATCTTCGCACTCTTCCCGGTGGAGGCGACTGACCGTCGCAGAAGCCATTGGAATCTGAGGCGCCTGGGTGTTCCCAGGGGTCGTGTTGCCAGTGGGTTGTGTTGGGCGGTCGGCAGGGTCCTCTCTGTCTTCTTCCTGCCCCTTTTCCTGTGGCTCGCGACCCATTTCGCAATCTTCCAGGTGTAGATGAACGACCAACGCAGAGTCTGTCGGAATCCACGGCGGCTGGATGTTCCCAGGGGTCGTGTTGCCAGCGGGTTGTGTTGGACGGTAGGCAAAGTCCTCTCTGTCCTCTCCCTGCCCCTCACCCTGCGACTCGCGACTATCATCGCATTATTCCCGATGGCGGCGACTGACCGTCGCAGAGTGCGTTGGAGTCCGAGGCGGCTGGGCGTGCCAAGAGGTCGCGTTGCCAGCGGGTCTTGTTGGGCGGTCGGCAAGGTCCTCCATGACTTCTTCCTGCCCCTCCCCCTGCGATTCGCGACTATATTCGCGCTCGTCCCCGTGGAGGCGACCCATTTCGCAACCCTCCCGCGGCGCAGGCGACTAGACGTCGCATCTCGAGAAATCGTGGGCAGGGAGGGAAGAGAAAAGTCAATCTCAAGGGAAACGCCCTGCGCAGGCGGGGCGCCAGCCCGCCCGTCGGTGCGCTGGGTCTGCGTCGTGGACATGCCGCCGGGCAACTTTGTTGGACAGCCGCGCAAGCCAGGCTGGCCGCGGGGCTGGCGGTCGGGCTGGCCGTCGGGCCCGCCGTGGGGCCGGCCGCGGGGCAGGCCGTGGGGCTGGCGGTCGGGCTGGCTGGGGGGCATGCCGCCGGGCTGGCCGCGGTGGCCGCGCGCCGCTGCGGCGGCGCCGGCCATCGCGCCCTCCGCCGCCGCCAGCGAGGAGCCGGCAGCGGCAGCGGCAGCGACAGCAGCAGCGGCAGCCGCGACAGCGGCCGTGGCGCCGGCCACGGCGCCGCCGGCCGCCGCCTCCGCCGCGTCGGGCTGGCCGGCCGCGGGGCTGGCCGCGGGGCAGGCCGCGGGGCTGGCAGTTGGGCTGGCCACGGGGCTGGCCGACGGGCTGGCCGTCAGGCTGGCCGCGGTGGCCCGCCGCGGCGGCCGCGGCGGCAGCCGCCGCGCCAGCCGCGGCGGCGGCGGCAGCGACAGCGCCGCTGCGCGCGCCACCGCGGCGGCGGTCGCGGCGGGGCAGCCGCGGACGGCCGCAGCAGCGACGGCCTCGGCGGCCGCGGAGGCCGCGGCCACCGCGGCGGCGGCGCGCGGCGGCGGCGGCCGGCCCACCAGGCCGCTGGCGGGGCCGGCGGCCGGGGGCCGCGCCAGCCCCAACGCAGGACGCACTGCAAGCCCCAGGCGTCGCCGGCTGGCAGCGCCAGCGGCCGCGGCAGCCGCCGCGCAAGCGGGCAGGCCAGGAGGCGCCGCGGCGGCGCCGGCGGCACCGGAGGCCCGCGCGGCGCCATCGGCGCCCGCGGCGGCCGCAGCGCGGGGAGCGCCAGCGGCGCCAGCGGCGGCGGCGGCGCAGGCCAGCAGGCCGCCGCGGCGGCGCCAGGGCAGCGCCCGCGGCGCGGCCAGGCGCCAGCGCCAGCGGCGGCCGCGGCAGCCGCCGCGCGGCGGGCCCAGGCGCCGCGCCGCGGCAGCGCGCGCGCGCGCGCCGGCGCGGGGCGCAGCGAGCGCCGGCTGCGAGCGCGAGCTGCACCCAGGCGGCCGCTGGCGAGCGCGCCGCGGCAGGCTCCATCGGCGTCGACGCGCGAGCCCGCACTTGGCCGGGGGCGTACTCGAGCCCTGACCCCGGAGGGAGGAACACCCCTGGGAAACGGCTTGAGCCAGAGGGGTACGGTGCTGGTGGGGAGACGCGAAGCGTCAAGAATTGGCAAAAGGTATGTCGACCCCAACCCCTGACTCAGTAGGAATGTCGACTGGCTAAAGAATATGAGGCCCAACTCGGGGCTACACGCTGGGGTATCCTCGATTAGGATCGTCCGGATAGCATCCTGGTGTGTGCTGTCCCGGCTTGTCCCCCTTCTCTGGACAACCAGAATTCTCATAGCGGCCATAACGGTGGAACGCAAACCAACTATCAAAACGGGCAATACACATGCGCAATAAGGAATGTAAGCCCTTTTGTCTTCTGTGCTGAAGCTTGTCCGAGCGCGGTGGGCCATCGAAAGAAGGTCAAAGATGGAGCCATCGGTTTCGCCCGTAATTAATGATACCGCCTGCCTCTTGAAGGGAGGACTCGGAACTTGCGGGCGAGATACCGCCTGCGACACCGCGTGCACGTACGGGCACATCTCCCACAGGGCTGGCCCACCAGTAGCACTGCGCGAGACCATCTGCGGAGCACGCAACACTCGAGCATGTACACGCGTTGATACCAGTAGGTATCGCTCAGGTCAGGGGGAACTCGAGGCCCCTCCCCCTCCCGCCCCTCTCCCCCCAGTGCCCCCTGTGCACAAGGGGGACCAGGGGGTGGTTCCGCCTGTGAACAGGGAGAACTTAGGACCCCTCCCCCCGCCTCCCCCCAGTGGACCACCCCCACCAGAGGGGGTCGCCAGCGGGGGTACCAGGGGAGGCCCCGCCTGCAAGGTCGGCGGAACCAGCGGCACCAGCCGTAAGGTCTTCACAATAACAATAGCAATCGCTTAGATCCATGCGCTCCACTGGCCAATGTTCGGAGTAATCAAATCATTCGGGTCAGTCAATGAGTTCACACGCATGCATCCCACGGCACAAACACGCATGCATTCCGCTTCTGTTCTGGACAGACGGGTGGTCAAGCTGTGCGAACGGCTGCCAAGGCCAACCCAGCAAGCAATGTTAATTGCGGAATCCCTGCAATATGTCATATGTATTACAAACGGCCTCCTCCCCGCATGAAGTCTTGTATAACTTCAGCCGGTGGCAATCAGGCCACCTCGCATGCCCATCTTCCCGTGCGAAATCAAATCACCCCAACGGGTGTACAGCACATGCTGTGAGCAAGACTGACGAAGTGCACAATCGAATCAAGCGGTGGGGAGTAACGTTCTGTAAAATGTTGGGGACAGGCAGCACTCGAACTCGGTACCGCTCACTCTAGGCTCCAACGCCACCGTGCTTGGCACCACCGAAATGAGCGTGCTCCGTACCAGGAGAGCTGCAATGCTACACTTCTCAGATCGTGCCTGTACTCAAGGCTGCCTGCTTCTCTCTACAAATCATTAGCTTGCCATTCCAAGCTTTCGGCCGGCAGGTAATCATGGCCGCCTCGTGGGCGCCCCGTGCGCTGGCTGGCGGTTCTGGACTTTCGGCCGGTGGGCCCCCGTGTGTTCCTCGTGGGCCCCTTCCATTTTCCTGCATTGGTTGCCAAATTCGCTTCAACGGTATCCCCGCTGTCATTGCTCTTCCGCCGGCGCAGGAGGTACTCTGCCTAGCCGCTGGCGCAAACAACGTTCCTCGTGGGCACCACGTGCGCTGCCTGGCGGCTCCGCGGCCACCTCGTGGGCACCCCGGCTGGCGGTTGCTGGACGTTCGGCCCGTGGGCGCCCATGGGCGCCTGGTGACCGCCCCGTGCGCTGGCTGGCGGTTGCGGACGTGTGGCTGGTGGACGCCCGTGGGCTCTTCATGGACGGCTCGTGCGCGGACTGTCGGCTCTGCATTCTGAATCCTGTCGGCTGGGCGGCGACTGGCCGAACACTGGGAAGCGCCGGCCAGCGCACGAGGCGGCGAAGACGCAGCCGGGAACGGCGACCGGCCGCCAGTCCCGCGCACGCCAGCTGCTCAGGAGGAAATCAGGATGGAAAAATACCATTCATCGTCGGTTCCCAGGAAGATTTGGGCTGGTGGGCGCCAAAGGGTGCCTGTTGACCGCTGCGTGCGGCGGCGACTGGTTTTTGACATCCGGTCAAAGGGCGACCGTGGGCGCCTCGCGGGCGCCTCGTGTGCTGGCTGGCTTCTGCAGATTCTCCTTTCTTAAAACATAAGTTCTACCACCCTCCCCCCCGCCCCCCCCGGACTTATCGATACCCCGGAAACCTACGCAAACCACATGCGATTCTGACCCTGTGTCCATCCGACCTGTGAACTCATGCTATCCCAGCCGGGCCGGTATCGGTCCTCCCTTCGTTCCCCTTTTTTCCAAACATCTTACGCGCGCGCAATCGTGAATCAACAATCACAATATTCCAAACATCCCTTGCAAAATATATGACGAAATGCACATGCGTGCGTCGTCGCGCGCGGATGCCAAAATCCCACCAGCCCTTTAGGGCGTAGGTGGTCTAGAGAGTTCCCTCTGCCAACCCCCCTTCTTTCCCTTCGGGGAGGGGTTTACCCCTCCCCTTACCCCTCCCCACTGACCTGGACGGGGCGTTCCGCGACGCGTTGGGACGCCCAAGATGGCCCAAGACTGCTCCAAGAGCGAAAAGGCGAGAAAACACAAAACATTGATTTTCCTTAGGTTTTGGAAGGATTTTGGCCTCTTGGGGGGGCCCAAGAGGCGATCCGAGGCACTCTAGAGGGGCGAGGCTAATTAAGGCTCCCCCCTTCTTTGATAGATCTCCTCCAAGATGGCCCCAAGTGCGCCCCGAAGGCTCCCAAGAGCGCCCCAAGAGCGCCCCAAGAGCGCCCCAAGAGACCCCAAGAGGCCCCCAAGAAGCCTCTAAGAGGCTGCCAAGAGACCCCCAAGAGGCCCCAAGAGAGTCCAAGATGGCCCAAGACGGCTCCAAGAGCGAAAAGGCGAGAAAGCAAAAAACATTGATTTTACCTAGGTTTTGGAAGGATTTTGGCCTCTTGGGGGGCCCAAGAGGCGACTCGAGGCACTCTAGAGGGGCAGCGCTAATATACGACCCTCCCTTCTTTGATCGATCTCCTCCAAGATGGCCCCAAGAGCGCCCCGAAGGCTCCCAAGAGCGCCCCAAGAGCGCCCCAAGAGCGCCCCAAGAGGGCCCCAAGAGGCCCCAAGAGGCCCCCAAGATGCCCCCAAGAGGCTCCCAAGAGACCCCCAAGAGGCCCCAAGATGCTCCCAAGATGGCCCAAGACGGCTCCAAGAGCGAAAAGGCGAGAAAGCAAAAAACATTGATTTTCCTTAGGTTTTGGACGGATTTTGGCCTCTAGGAAGGCCCAAGAGGCGATTCGAGGCACTCTAGAGGGGCAACGCTAATAAGCAACCCCCCCTTCTTGATAGATCTCCTCCAAGATGGCCCCAAGAGCGCCCCGAAGGCTCCCAAGAGCGCCCCAAGAGCGCCCCAAGAGGGCCCCAAGAGGCCCCAAGAGGCCCCCAAGAGGCCTCCAAGAGGCCTCCAAGAGACTCCCAAAAGGACACAAGAAGCTCCCCGAGATACGCAAGAGGCCCCCGGGACCGCCAAGAGGCCCCAAAGACGGCCCAAGAGGCCCCCAAGCTCGCCATTGTCCTCCTCCTCCTCCTCTTTTTCTCCCTCCTCCCTCCTCCCCCTCCCCCTCCTCCTCCTCCTCCTTCTCCTCCTCCTCCTCCTCCTTCTCGTCCTCCTCGTCCTCGCCCTCCTCCATCTCCTCCTCCTCATCTTCCTCCTCCTCCTCCTCCTCTTCCTCCTCCCCCTCCTCCTCCTGCTCCTCCTCCTGTTCCTCGTCTTCCTCCTCCTACTCCGACGACGACGACTCCTCCTACATCCTCCCCCTCTTGGAACGTATGGCGGCTTAACCCGCTCTTTGTTCTTCTGCATGCTCCCCCGCTTCCCTCATCACCTCCACTCCTCTGGGGCTCATTTCTGGACGGGCTGGTGGGGATACGCGAAGCGTCTAGAATTATTCAAAAACCTCATGTGTCGGAAAGATTTCAAAATCGAGCTCCCAGCGCTTATGAAGAAAAACAAAGCATCGCAACACGGGTTTTCAACAAGAACGTGCGCGCGCGCTCTTGCGAATTCTTAAAGAACCATGCGTTTTCAACATGTTCCAAAAATGCTACCAAACGGGTTTCGCGCGCGCATGTCGAAATTATTCGAACGCCCTTGCGCGCGCGCTGGGGTGGCACGACCCGTGTCTAATAATACCAGCTGGTGGCAGCTGGCGGCGAGCAGCTTCAAGTTGCTGCTCTTGAGCGCCAGCGGCCGAGTAGTCGCAGGAGCACGGGCGGGACCCAGGGCGAGGTCCGCCTCCCCCGCACCCTTCGGCGGGAAGACCATGAGGCGGTCGTTGAGGTCCATCGGCGGCGGGAAGCCCCGGGCTATCAACCCCCGCGGCAGCCAGGTCCTCCAACGGTCTCGAGCAGCCGCATCTGCTCCATGCGTCGCATGGCAGGCCGTCTGGACCAGGCGCAGACGGTCGCGCGCGCTCGGCAGCTCGATGAAGGTCATGGGCACCAGGAAGACGGGCGTCTTGGAGCCCTTCAATGGGAACTGGATGTTCACTGAGGTATCGTTCGAGAAAAGAGGGCCGCTCATTGTGGAGGCGCTGAAAGACGGGGGCCCAGTGGGAGCGGAGCTCACGCAGAATGTCTGACTGGGCGCTGACCACTCGATCCTTCCAATCAGCATCTGGACGGAGCCCCTGAAGCTTGCGAGCACGTGAGAACGGAGACCACAACGCTGCACGGCGACGCAAGGAGCGACGCACCGCGTTGATGTGCCGACATGAATTCCCGCCAGGAGAACGGGCCCGAGCACGCTGGTCAAGCTGAGCCTCGCGTCGGTCACTGCATGCTGGCTGCGCGGCAGCGAAGTCGGTCTCGAACGCGGCCGCATCCCGCAGGGGGGCGATGTCCCGGAGCCCCGCGCCGCGGTGCTCGATGAGCAGGCGGGGGGGCTGCGAGCTGGGAGGTGGCCACGAGCCTCTCCGCCAACAGGACATCATGAGGAGAAGCGGCTTGGCGTCGCGCTCGTGAGATTGCGCCTTGAAGAGACGGTCGCGAACACGCCTGGCCGCCTGCTTCATGAGACGCTTGCGTTCGCTCCTGCGCTGGCACATGGTGAGAGAGTCCCAGTTGACGCGCTTGGCCAGCAGCGCGCGCTGCACGGGGCACTCGGGGCCCCTGAAGATGCGCTGGCCATCGCCGCGGAGGGGAGGTCGCGCGGCGATCGCGATGACCAGCGGTGCATGATCGCTGAGGCCCTGCTCGTGGAGGCGCTCAGGGAAGTCTCGAGTAGCGGCCGTGATGGGCCATTGGATGGTGAGCCAGCTGGGCGTCGCGAGGAACGCCCTGTCGACCTGGGTGAGCTCTGGCGGGGAGTTCTCCTGGGTGCTGAAGTGAGTCGAGAGCCCGTCGTCGAGCTCGACCAGCTCGTTGTCGCGGAAGCGGCGCAGCATGAAGTTGGACGAGGCCCTCGTTGAGGAGAGGGGTGCGCGCGAGGAGCGATGGGGCCGAGAAGATATAGAAACCCCCGAGGAAGAGATGGGTGACAAACTGCGGGGCGGAGCTCGCGATGGCCAGGTCTCTGTGGAAGCGGGCGGTGATCAGGCCCATGTCCTGCGCGCTGAGCCCGAAGTTGTGGACGCGCTAGATGACGAGCGAGGGGGCTGGCGCTGCGGGGGGCGGCTGGGAACCAGAAACACAGAGACGCTGAACGCGGCCCGCCGCGAGGATCTCGCGCGAGAAGCGGCGGGCGTCCGCGTCGGAGAAGAGGCCGGGGAGGAGAATGACGGCGCCTCCAGTGTCGCGCCTGTCCCCGAAGTTAGTGAAGGCCCGCGCCTGGAGATGATGGCGACGCAGTTCCTGCTAGAGCTCGATCTCGGCGCCGCGGGCCCCCTGGAGGCACATGGAGGTCTGCTGCTTGACGCATGCGGAGACGTAGGCAAACTTCCGACCACGAACTTGCATATTGTGACGAAGGAGCGCACGAGCGTTCCAGGACCCGAAGGCGACGCGGCCACGGTGTTCTGACGGTGCCCGCCAAGCTGCGAAGCGATTGTTAAATGCACCAGTGGATGCGATCAACAACTTCGAAGATCTCATCAAAGGCA